AAAAATAAATGCTGACTGAAATTAAAACAATACAAATATTTTAAAAGAAAGCTAGGAATTTGACTTTTATTTGCAAAATTAATTCTACTCTTTCCTGAAAGTATTTTGTACACTTGAAACTTTGATCGCATTACTTTAAGAAATCCATGACAAAAGAACTACTACGTTATTAAGTCTGAATGAGGAAGAATAAAGGGCCTTTAAAAAAAAACACACACAAAAAAAAATCGGCTGTCCATCATACCTACATTGCTGACACTTGCACTTGTGGTAGGCAAAATAGGTAGCAGTGCTCCGTTTTCTTCTCATAAATCATTTTTACATAGTAAATACAAAGAACTGAAGTAATTTTTTTTTTATTTTTTTATTTTTTTTTTACAATTTTGCATTTTATATTTGGAGTTGTAACTTCTAGCTAGAAACTCACTCTTCAAAAAAAAAAAAAAACAAACAATGTTCTATACTTGCCTGCAACTTTTGTGTAAGTGCAAGCAAGTATTTTTTAGATGAACCACACCGATAGCTTTGCACTTCCTTGAGGCCTCTTCTCTTCTCACTGAATGAACTCCAGGGAATGGCATCATGTCGGGCCTTCCAGATGGATTATGTGAAGCCATAGCTCAATGTCATTTTCAATAGCAAGGCTCATAATTAAAGGTCAAATAGTCACTTCATCTGCAATCAATCAATAGAAGAAGTACTAATACTAAGTACTAATCAATCAATGGCAAATGCACTAATAAAAGCCATGCATCAAATGTCTGCATATGTGTGTGCTCACATGTACTGTGCATATATGTGAGCAGGGAGAAGGAGAGAAAAAGAACAAAGTGTGGGTGAATACGCCAGAGGGCATTGTGAATACTACATTTACCCTCACTACTTGTAAGTTTATATCTCGTTCCACTCGCTAAGTGAAGTATAAATAAACATTATTTTTCTACATATATGATGTATGCTATTTAAAAACTGCCAAAGCATCCACCACCATTCAAAAATACTGACTTGTAATCCTAAATGAGAAACACCAAGGTACCTACCCTGTGTAATTTGTCCTTACACAAACATGCCCTGCACTCTGATCTGTGAGACAAAAAGTGTGTCAACTGTTCTGTCTACAAAATAAAACCCAGCATATGGGAACAGCACTCATCTCCGCGCAGAGCAAGCACTTATTCATGGATTCAACAGTGGAAGTGGCAGTTGGCCTCATGAGCATGCACTGCATGGGAATTAGCTGGTTTCATAATATGGTGTGGGAGAAAGTGACTTATAAAAGTCTTCTCATGCCTCTCCCATTACCACTTCTAAAGCTTTAAAGCTGTCAGCGCTTCTCCCACTTTTGTCGGTGCCACTCTGAGTCCCGCGGGGAACGGGCCAGACGTACCTATCGGAGCTTCACCTGCCAAGCTGAGAGAAATCAGTTTCAAAGTGAAGGAAGAAGTGTTGGGGGGTCATTTGTATACTACCACTGCAATCTTGAAGACAAATAAAGCAGATCCCCGCAAAGGATACAAAACCAAACCCTGTGCTGTGTTTGGGCTTTCAGGCATTGTAATGACAGAGAACAAAAACTCTCTCTGCTACAGGAGAACAGAAGGTTTCTCCTTGCATGGCTTACAGTAAACACCTCTGGACAGGGAGAAATGTGACAGAACAGCAGAAATAGTGAGGGGCAAAATACCTATGTCTCTCCTTATTTCTGCTAAGATCAAGGTAGACAAGACTGTGCTGCAGATACATTCAACTGTCATTCAGAAATAGCTGATCCTTCAGAACAAATTATATCTACTCTGCTTCCACCTTCAGTGGAGAAATATATGCTAGTTGCTCTGATTTACAATTCCTGTTTATATCGTCAGTTCAGGGGCATAGCTCATCTTGCTACAGCTTTATAAAACCAGCTCCTCTCTCTTCCTAGTGTGCTCCATCCACCTGCTCATTTAGATGGAAATGTACATTTATGCAGCTCTATTCTATATGGACCTGGTACTAGGAGCAAACGGAGAAAAATACCAGTGGTCCCAACACCAATCAGCTTGAAACTGATAAACAGTAGGCATGCTAACGCAGTGCACAGAAGAGTGGCTGGGCCCGCAGCCTTACCAAAGATGGGCTTCCAGGGAGTGCCAAAAAGAGCATTTCCCATTAAGGGTGGTGATCAATTCAGGACACAATGCTGCTGGTCACACACACACATAGTAGTAGTAGTCTGGGAATCTCAAAAAAGCTTTGACGAAGCTCAGCTCAGGGATGGAAAAAAACAAGGGAAGCAGGCCCCAACCTCTCAGAGATATCAGTGCAGGCACTGAGCAATAAGGAAAGATAGCACAAAAGTGCAAAGTGCAAGAGTGACAAATGTCTGGTGACCTTCCTACTGGGAGTCAAGGTTGCCTTCCAAGAGGCACCAGCTCATCAAGGTAAAGCAGTCTGTCCTGAAGGTGACAAATGAAAGTGGGTAGCCAAGAAACTGTGCTGCAATAGTGGACTCCACCATCAACCTCTTCCATTTCAGTCTGCACACTTATCTGTAGGAGAGACCTGTATTAGCAGAGTAAAAGCATGCATGGCCAGGGAGAAGCTGCAGAAATACTTGAAGTCAAGGTGGGTGATGCATTTTTGTCAGTACGCTTGGGCAAAGGATTCTGCAAAATGCAACACATATCCGATTAACCAGGCTGTGCTAATGACAGCAGCAACTTGGAATTGTGAAAACACCAGCAAAAAAGTCAAGCAAGCTAGGGACATAGAACTGGGCTCTTTTAAATGAGAAAGTAAAATATAAAAGGGAGAGAGTACTAGCAGAAGAAAATTGCACTGATTCAGCTGTGTGTATAGGATGCAGGTCAAGATGAGCTATGTGAGGATGCTTGGTAGAAAGAGTGAGAGTCCTCACTTTTCACCGGGTGAAAGCAAGTCCCTTTAACACTTAAATATTAAAAAGACTTTATGGCTATTTTCTTAGTGCCATGATAAGCTGCAGAAGTATTCACAGAATGTGCATAAAACTATTTTCATCAGGAAGGGAAGGAGAGAATCACACATTTGTATGAGTGAAATAAAACTAGCTTCTGTTCTGCAGTATCCCAGCAGTGTCCTAGGTTTATATGCACATCAGTAAAATGGCACGTACGGTAGCATGCTATGACTTAGGTGAGGGGTCACTTTCTACAAATACAACTGTCCTCCTGAGTATAAGCTCATCTATTACTTGAAGCTTTGGTTTCACAGCACACTTGGCTGTAAAGGAACTCAAGTGTCATTTGATCTATCTTCTGCTCCAAGGCAGGACCAAGCTGAGCTATCTAAGTCCTGACTGAGGCTTGTCTATGATGATAAGAAATTCCAAGACATCAGTAGGCAACATATTCCAAAGCTCAACTGTCTTTATATTAGACAGGTTTCCCTGATTGTTAGCTTAAACCTTCCTTGTTGTAGTAAAAGTCCTTTCCTTTTCAAAGTTCACTGTGAAAGAGTTAATTTTTTTTCCTTCTTTGCATCAACCGTTCATTTATTTGAAGATCACTAACGTATCTCAGCTCAGGTTTCTCTCACCAATCCCAATTTTTTGAATCTTTCTCATGGATTGTGTTTTTGAAACCTGTGATCATCCAAGTCATTCTCTTCTGATCTCTTTCCAGTTGGTTCCCATCATTTTTGAATTGTGGAGCCCAAAATGTCATGCAGTGGCATGAAAAGCCACTGTCAAGCCATACAACTTTTGCTACTTCTCCCCAACCCTCAGGACCTTGTAACCTTGTGTGAAAGGAAATCAGACTGACTTGATACACATTTGACAAATCTATGTGGCTGTTACTCATTTCTCCTGCACTGTTAAAATTATTTATTTAGCTATTTGTTTCAGTAGTTTTCTAGGAAACGAAGTTAAACTAATTGATCTGTAATTCCCTGGCGCCTCCTTGATTCCCTTTGGAAAAGAGAGGCCTTTGTTTGCCTTTTTCTTGTCTTCCAAGAACTCCCTCAGTTCCCACAGATTTTCAAGTGCACTTGTTAATAATTTGGCAGCATAGGCCTGGCTGAGGCACAGAACCCTGAGATGAGTTTTACTATATTAAGCTGACTGGAAAACAGCTCACCTTTCTAAGTCCTCTCTGATTCATTCTTCCCCTATTTCAGGCTGAGTTCTTACCTTTGTCACTGGCACTAGCTGTGTTAATCTTTGACTGGTACAACTGCAAAGCCTTGAAAAGGCTAATCTTCAGTCACGTATGCTTTAACAAACATATATTTTCGTATTTTGAAAACCAGTAAGACAATATCCAAGTCCTAATCTTTACACTGACAGAACATAACAGCAATGAAGCACTATCAGGTGGCTCTAAACAGGACGCTGATTTAGCAGTATTTTGTGAATTTCCATCAGAACATCTTATTATCACTAAGGGATTGTAAGTGACAAATATCTCAATAATGTTTTGATAAATGAATTCTAATAAATAAAACATTGTCCAAAAAAACCCTGTAGACTTCTTAAAATAAACACACACATTTTGCTCATATTAAGTAGAAGATTGTATTGTCTCTTCGTGGTTTCTGAATACACTATATGTTTTGATTTTCACTTGTGCAACTCGGTTTTGAGATAAAATAGCTTTACTGTGGGACTGTGCAGATGTATCTTAGAATGTTTTCAGTATAACAAATGCTAGATATTCACAATATTGGATTAGAACAGAACAGAACAACAGAACAGAACAAAAACAGAAAAAAAAATCAGTTTTCCCTAAATGAGATGGTCTTACTGTATAACCACTGAAATCTCAGCTGAGACGACCATGTTGTCTCCCCTTTAACATACATTTATTTTCCCTGTGTGAAAACATTAATATCTTAATACCACACCGGTAGCATTACTCGTCACACTAAAATCAAAATTATTTAAGCAGAAAAGCTAACAACCAATAACTTTTTTTCAAAGAAGTAAAAATGTTACTGTTGTTTTGCTCAAAAGCTTATCTTGATCTCTCCTCCTGACTTACCCAGGGTGAGGGATTTGTGTGTGGAACAGAAAATGATAGCCACTGTGTCTGCTGGTGTGAAACCAGAGTTATTCCTAGAAAAGAAAGGGTTTTAATAACCTCTGTTAGCAAAAGCCTTCTTAAAACATCATCGATCAAATGTATTACTTTGAGGATCCATATGCATGTTCACATCACTTTGATCAATTCTCGTGACAGAAATAATTCTACCCACAAATGAATAGTAGCGTTTGATTTTTTTTTTTAAAGTAGAATTGTTTCCCAGTTGTAGCAAACTCTCTAATGAATATACTCTCACATAAAGGAGAGGAATTCTGAACTTGCTGTATGTAGGACAACTTTATTCTAGCCAGAATTACTTTTGCAAATATTCAATAACATGCCCATTTGCCACTGCAACAAAAAACAATGACCTATGATTTCTTTTCCTACTTAATATTTAAAAAAAAATGCTCCATTTAAATTAGGAAATTAGGAAAGTGACTACAAGACACAAAGTCATTCTCACTGTACTACTTTTTGAGATATAAATGGACAATGATTCCTCCTGGTTGATATTTAAAAAGGAAAGAACACTTCTACCAAACATTTGTTCAGGACAACCACTTTTTATGAAATTCCATATAAACGTAACACATTTGACATATACAGAGAAGACTGAAGCCCAGCAAATGTATCTTGAGATGTAAAAAGTCAAACTGAGTTCTCGCTCTCATATGTCATCAGTATGTCTGCAGGGCAAATTATACCTTCAGTGACATCTGTGCAAATCCATTTTTTTTCAGTGGATGAGGTATAGCAGTGATTGATTGAGATTTAACAACTCTGTAATTAACACACAAGAAGGGACAGAATCCAGGTCCTGCTCTGTTAGACTATGAAATGCTAACACAAAAAATGCAGTAACGATGACAAGGAACATCAACATGAGGTCACCCCCTATTCAGAAACCTGCCCTTATGCATCTGTATAACTGAAGCATGCAGAACCAAATATCACACGAAACAAACATTCAAACATTCTGTTTCAGTACATTCGATTACCTTGTAGAGAAGAGGAAAGTCAAAAACATGAAGCTCAGCTGAACAGAAAATACTGAAAACAAGAGAAAAGAAACAAGTTAAAATTAAACTTACAACACAGAAGTAAAGATCACTGAAATCTCTGTGTGTGCCGTGTACATGCCTTTTGCACCCATGCAAAAGATCAGCAGCCTAGGCTGCTGAAGGTAAGCCTGGGCCAAGTCAATCCAGAGAAATCCAATGACAGAAAACCATGAAAGATTTTAAAGGTGCTAATTTGGACAATTATGTCTGAAAGAACAATATGGATCATTATATCCAAGAAAGCCAGAAGTATTACCTTGGCTACCCAAGATCCTCCTGAGGTTATTCCTCTGAATCAAGTATATCTCGACACAATGAAAGACAGAGAAGTTCACTTTTGAATGCGCCCCAATCATTTCTCTTGTTTTGCTTATTAGGTTGACGACATAAGATCTCTTGGACATGCTCTAGCTGCCAGATATTTCAGTTTAACCCATTTCTACTTAACAGAATGAAAGCACAATGTGTAGGCATGATCACAATAAATATTCTCACATGCTAGGTCTACTACTCTCCTGTTAACAGAAGATAATCACATACGTTTAACTCTCAGTGAGACAAAGGCTAATTCCTGCGTACATCAGACAAAGCGGCTATTCAAGCTCAGTGAACTTTATGTATGGATGTTTTTTGTGCAGGCTGAGGGGAGCTCTCCCCTCCACCAGCTCACGTGATACCTGCAGGGCTTCTGGGACACACAGAGCCCCAGTAGCTGCTGGGGGCTGCAGAGCCCCCTTCCCCTTTCTGTTGGGGTGCAGGACTGCCCCACGGAGCCAGGGCAGACACTGTGACCTGCCCAGACCTTGCGCAGGCGTGCACGCTGCAGGGGTGAGTGCTTGTACTTCTACCAGAATCTGGAGCGGGTCCTTCCCCTTTTCCTTGCTAAATCTGTGAACACACTAAGGCGAATGTGCCCCTTAGGGTAATGCAAGCCAAGCCAATATATTGGATTTTGACCACAGTTTCTAACTGGGCAACATGGCCTGGTTATTAACTACTGCCAGTGATATTTTACGCTCTCTTACATACCTTTCCTAAGATGCATAACTGTCACCTCAGCATGCACTTAATACTTCCTTCGTGAACTAAGGAAGCAATCCATTGTTACTGAATTACAGGGTTTTTTTGCAACTAAGTACATTAATTTAATATGAACAGGAAAAAATCCCTTTCTTAATAGGTGTAATTCTGTAAAGCAATAAGCATGTGTTGATACCAATTATCTATTGTGCATATTTTGCTGTGTCTAGAATATTAACAGAAAAATTACATGAAAACATTAATCAGCAGAATAATAAATGCAGTTTCACCTCAAACTCCTTGTGCTAATTTCATTTCCTGGTGTAACTCAACACACACATCCAGCCAACACATACAATGGAAGTAAACCTTTTCTACATTATAACATATACATTCATCTTCATAGCTTTCTTATTTTTCAGTTTTATAAATATCTTAGAGAAAAATCAAACATCTAATATGTTTCCTATCAGATTCAAGGCTTACATTAATATTCTTGCAAAGAAACTCCAGTTACACACATTTGAAATGAAAAGGTATATACAGTGATTTTCAATGTATTGCACTGCAAGTGGTGTATATATAATTACATGCGGCACAAACGCAGAGCTGTCTTACAGAGAAATAAAAGAAAGGAAAAGAAAAGCTACAGGAGTAACCACTCTACAACAACTGTCCAAGCAAGAACACTTTTTTAAGATTTTCACATCCTTCTTTTTCCCCAACAGCTTGGCCCTGATTTAACTGCCTCAGGGATGTGGTCCCTCTTCAGGTGCTTAGGCAAACAAGTATTTTCTCCATTTTGAAAAAGTTCATTAGATGGCCTCCCTCTTCTTTGTTTTCAGAATAAAATGACAGTTCTGTGGTTCACCATAAACTAGGCAGTACCAGTTATAACTCTATGTAATATTCTCACACATTCAGAATTCCATAATCCAGAAAACTGCCACAATGAAGATATGTAGGACAGAATAGTAAGTGACCCACCAAGAGCAGGGACAAATTTCTTACTGACTTCAGTAGAAGCTGGATTTATGTAAGATACATATTTTTATTAGACACAAACATGTGCACATGCACGCAGTTTCAGAAGCTGATATAATGATTTCCTGAAATCTAACACTTTTGGAGCTTACAGGATGTGATTTATACTCTTGTATACTGTAGTTACCTCTCCCCCAAGCAGATTGAAACTTCTGTCTCTGCACGGTCTGAAGCAAGACAGGAATTACCGACCGGGAGAGGAGACAGTGCCTGAATACCACCGCTTTTCCCTGGGAGGTAATGATCTGCAAGTGTATTTTTAACTGACGGCAAAGATACCAGCAGTCTATTCTCAGGTGTGTGTTATTCAAGGCTGAATGAATAGAGTGCTTCTAAAACAAACTCCCCAACAAATGTCTCTATCCACAGAAATATATCAACACCTTCAAACTCCCTACTAGTTTCTAGGTTTGTAATATGGGTAAGAAAGAACTATTTGAAAGTTATAACAATGCTTTTGAGTAGCAGCTCAAATCCAAATCTCTCCTTTCTGTTTGGAATGCAACATCTGTTCATGTATGGTTGTTTAATAACAAAGACACCACAACAGTATGGTCATAAATGACTGAAAAACAATACCATGCCCCTTTAGAAAGGAAGTACCCTTGAGCAATCTCAGGCACACCTAGCAGCAAGGTTCATTACTCTATAAAGGCTTACTTAACTTCCTAAAAGCGTGCAGCCCCTACGAAGTTGGATAGTCTATTTGACTTACTAAACCCATTAAAAGTGCAAACTCCAGACCCAAGCCAGTTTCCCTTGCCCCCGCCCTCTCCAGTACACATTGCTCTTTACACACACGCATCTGATAAAAGAGATGCTTTAAGTCTGAACTTACTTATAAACACTATGATAATCAAGCTAAATTTATCAAGGTCAATATTTGGATTGGCGAAAGTATCACAGAACGTTGTGTAGATGATCATCAGGAGCACGCAGCTGCTGATAGCGCCAAATGGAGGCTTCTTCCTTTCGAGCCAATCCTTGATGTATCTTCGGACAATCTGAAACACAGAAATCAACAGGTTGCCTCTTTTCAAAGATGCAGGGAGCCAAGTTGGGCATCACAAAATGAATCTGACAGCGGAAAGACACAAAGAGAAGAGAGTAATTTGGATGACGGCCACAGTGGATTTCAAAGCTTCCCTGCCACACAACTCTTCTTCTGGGGAATTTAACATTTGTAGTGCAACTTCCACTGGGCGTCCATAATGAGAGTATATTTTCAAGTACATTCAAATCCATCCTTAATCATGCCAAATGTTCTTTGCTAGCTGTCACTGAGACATGCCCATTAAGCCTCCCCAAAGTTTATCTCCTCTGCTGATACTAATGGATGTATGTAATTATCACAGTCCCCTTTGCATCAACAGACAATTCCAAGTGCAACTTTGGGAATCTTAAAAATCTGACATCTTCAGGAATTTCATGATGGTAGATAATCGAAAGTGATCCATGGAACATTTTAATATTTAAATAGCTAGCAATGCACCAGAAGTTTTTAATTAAATTATAACTCAAGCTTGAAAAGCAAAAGTGCATGTGTTGTGGGAGTTTAAATAATTCAAACTCTGAATATCTAGAGTTTCTGTAAATCCAAAGACAAATGCCATTTGCACGCTTTTAGAATACCAGAATTAACACATGAAAACAAGCAAACCTACTGTACTTAGTGTAACTTTTGCACTTTCAGGAAATTGATTCTGAAGCTGTTTTTCCACAATTTATTTTTTAGAAACAACCATAAATGTTAAAGCAAATTCTAAACTATGCCACGTAGTACAGGACTAAGCATCAGCAGAGACAGTACATCTATCCAAGCCCTGCATGGGGAGCTGCTTCTATTTTTTCCTCTTTACTTTATATGGTTTGAAAAAACTTTTTACAGCTTTTATCATACAGCTGTGACTTGTGTTAATTTTTCAGCAATCACATTATCTTGCCTAATTTCTGCTGAGACCTCCCAACATTCTCTGTTACCAAACTCTTTCAGAAATAATAGCATAAGATCCTGAGAAGCTTCTATCAGAGGTTTCTAGAGGTGCCTCATTATCTTCCCACAGCGGTACCAGTAATGAATGCCACTGCTATCAGTTTAATAATATAGAACATTTCAGAAATATTCAAGATTAATATCAAAGCATCATCACCAGTGTCACCACAGGACCTTTTCACACACTAACTGCCAAAGCTGGTGGACTGACCTCACGGCTGTCAGTTTTCCTCACTGCCTTCCCAGCTTGTTTGCAAAGCTCTCAGTAGGGAAGTCCTGTAAGTAGCTATCTGAGTAGCTGCAGAAAACTGACTTTATCAATCACATGGGAGAGCACATACTAAAAATTTTGCACACGGGGCTCTTGAAAAGCTGAGTAGGCTGAAGACCAGCCCTTACCTCACAGTACTTCTCAGCTTCCTGCTAGTCAAAAATAACAGATTTATAGGAAACCATATAAGGAAATGCTCAACACCCCAGTGAAAACATGCAACTTTCAAATTTCACACTTGCCAGATGTTGAAGAGCAAACAAAACTCCGTACTACTGCCAGACTTCTGAAGGAGCGTTCAGTGGAGCTCCTTCAGCCACCTCCTTGTAACACCAGGTAGGAACAGACCACTGCATTGATGAACAAGAGACAGGTAACCTGCGTGCAGATGGTAATGTGCAGAGTGTGAAAGTAAACAAACGGGAAGACTGGATTAGCCTAATCTGGCACTCTCTGTAATTCTCAGAAGCAAAAGCAAAGTCTTTGGCCTCTAGAGTGAGCATTTTCTGAGGAAGCTTAAAAAAAAAAATCCTACTCTCCCCTAAATCAAAGTCACATTGAGGAAAAAGAAATGCTACATAAGACCACACATTTATGGGCCTTCAATCAGACAAATGTGAACCAATACTGAAAGTAATGAAGATATTGAAAAAGAAAAGTTATGGTTAACAATTATGCCACAGTAGAATTTACGTCGGAAGCATTTATTACCAAAACTACAACCTTGTGTCTGTACAAAGGTATAATTATAACATATTTGACAATATTAACTCTTTATGCATATTTAACATGTACAGAAAAAGGGGAAAACATTTTTTAAATGAAATTCCAAGCAATAGTTCCTCCCTACCTTCTATCAGCTGATGTCTTCTTTAAATATCCACCTCTAACCTCCTTACCCGGGCTAGTCTGGAAGTTAATGCGAATCAACAAATGCCAGTGAGGCTTCTTAACGTATTTTATGTTTAAAAAGAATGGCTTAGTCAGACCCTGAAGAACTAAAATGTGGCTTCAGGAAATCATCTCATAACAGAGCATCAAGCTAAGAAATATATATTATAAAAACACGGACAAATACATCCTCCCTAAGACAGAAGCTCATATGTTCTTGGCTTCTCTTAACGTTCAAGGTGATCTGTAATTTTAGGGCATGTTGATTCAGCCTAAAATCATTGATTTGAAGTAATTAAATTCTTACGTAATTTAAGAGGGGAGAAACATAACCAAGCCCCTATAGGTGTTTGTGAAAGTTAAACTAGATTTTTCACAGGGAAGCTCATGTCAGCTGATTCATTCTGACTGAAAAACAATCCATTTGTTACTTATTCATGCCCTGCAGAGTTGTTTCAGGACAAGGATGCTTTGAAAGCCTCTTAATTCTTAACCCAATTTTATAACCTTTTCAGTGTTAACATAGGACTTAAAAAAAACTTGTAAGATTTGTAGTGAAATCATAATAATTCCCACAAATACAATAAAGACAATGCGCAAACAGACCAGATCCAACCAGCCAGCAAACCTTGTTGCTCTGTAGCAACGGCACTCTGACAGGAAATCTAACAGAGGTTGAAAAGCCACGAGCAATGTGGATTGAAACAATTAAATAAAGAATCTCATAGGTAAATTGAAGCCTGAGCAAAAATACTGAGCTTCATTTGTCTGCAAACATAGAAGTCAATACAATGATTTCTGCCTGTTATGGCCTGCACTAAGGACACCAGACTTGGATACCACACCAGTGTGCCACTGGTATGTGATGTCCTAAACAGGATAGGATATGTCATAGGATCACATAGGATGACATAGATGTCATCCAAAATAAAGGCCCTAGACAAGCATATTGATGAAAAGAGCAAAAGAACAGCACTCTTCAGATGCAGTAATTCCATAGTTCCTAGTGAAAAGGAATTCCTCACACTAGAAAAAATTCAATTAAAAATAGCTTCCTATTACAGAGGGGAAAACGAAAAGCTGTTGGGAAAGCAACTCACACATAAAACACAAAAGCATTTAAAAACACACTTTCCATGGGAAAATGCTGCAGGATGCTACCATGTCACAGAGAAAGCATTTGCGATCTCCTGCAGCACAACTCTCCGTAGGTCCAAGTGCCTTGCAACCAGTTTCCCTGCCAGACTCCTGCAGAGCTGCTTCTGCAAAGAGAGCTTGTGGCCTCCAGCCCAGGGGAGTGACCACATCAAGCATGAAGCACTGCAAAGATTTCCATGCAGATTTAAATGACAGCCTCAGAGAGCAGCGAATTCCTGCAGGCTGACCAAGAAACTGCCCACAAGAAAAGCACATGGTGAGTCTCTGCCTCAGTCAGTAGGTTGAGGGGGAGAAGGGAGGGAGAAAAGTAAATCTTTGTTTTGGGGGGTATTTTATAAATAAACTGCATAATATGAGATGCCGATAAATTCACAGGAAAGTTAGATGACAATAGAGCGAAATGGTGTCCACCAGGCAACTGCCCGCTGGTGACTACAGCCTTCGCAAGGTTTATGGAAAGGCGCCAGGTCAAATTTGCTTCACAACACATTTCCAAGCTCTAGATATGAGCTCAGACTTGCCTCTTGCCTCTTGTTTCTTTATATAACAAAAGAATGTAATACATTAATTGTTAGATGAAACTGTAACACACGAACAGCAACACAAACATATGAATCTATAGTGTGGCCATTTCAATGCAGTTCTTCTACTGGAACGGTTTACAGGTAGAGGTTTTTCCTCCAGGCTACTCAGCACCCAGCCCTAACCTTGGTTAAAAACAGTCTCCCCAAGCAGCTTGGGGTCAATCTGCTAAATGGTCATGTGCTTGATTCACTTGCTATCCCCTTGTATAAAGAAAAAGGAGCTGCTATTTGAGAGAAGTAAGTAAATAATGCTCATCTGTTGTAAGATCAAACATGAAAACAGCAGAATATATGTTTTAAACAACAATTCTCTTATTTTATTATACCTTTGTAACAGTCACACTACATACCTGGAGGAACCTGTGAGGAAAATACAGCTAGAATATTTCCACCTGCCTGCTCAAGCGGTAGATGCACAAGATAACGAATGCAATAAACTTAATGCAATTCATTACTGTTTGTTATCAATGGAACTTACTAGGGAAAGGTGCTTTTTCTTCTCCCAAAATTTCATGGAATGGAGTTATTTCTGACATTTGCAATATGGTATATCTTTCAAAAATTGCCTAGATCTTCAACTTCAAAAAAGTTTAAAACCCATGACTTGAAAGACTAGGGGAAATAGTAACGAAATCACTTTTTCTGTTTCCATATACACACAGGAGACTCTCTTGGCATTTACATCATCACACAAAGATTTCTCCTGTTTCTATCGACTCCTGGGGACTGATTTAACCTTTAAGAGAATTTAACATGTTTAAATTGTGCTTTTTCTCCTATTATTATATATCAGCATGCCTTCAAATACCTGGACAAAACACCTAGTCTTTAACATTTCAACTAAGAAACACAAGTCACACACAAGGCAACAAGCCGAAACAGCTGGATCACTGCTAGCCCTAAATGCAGCAGTTACTTTATTTACTTTCTCTTTTAAGGTAGGATTCTTAACTCGTTCTTTGCTACTATTACTATTATTGCTACTTATAACATCACAACTTTGCAATGAACTCTGCAATGCAAAGTTTTCTTTTGGAAAGCTTTGAGTCAAGCTAGAAAGATATTAGCAACAGTTCAATAACCTCTCAATACTCCCTCTTACACAGT